TCATATTATGGAAGAGAATTTTGTGTAGAGTTTAAAATAAAGATTTTTAATTGAAAGGATGATATGTAATATGTTCTTGTGATTTTTGCCTCAGCCTATTTTTCTTTATTTCATTAAGCAAGTGGGTTCAGATTTTAAATAATCTGTACACCGTTGGATCTATAATGAAACAAAAAAATAATAATTCCCTGCATATGGATACATGGTTTGACAATACGGCACTTCGCAATTATGTCACAGCGCGGGACCCCGCGAAAATGTACGGCGCGGGCCGGCGATTGTGTTACACTTGCTATATAAATGTGCAAAAAAACATGCCAGAATGCAATAAACCATGCGATAAAAAAAATTTGGCGCGCTATATCATTGTATTAGATTTAACATAGAACAAATGGAAGTCACGACGGAGGAAATAAGAGCATATCTGAAGAGAGGAAAATATCCTAAAAAGAAGTCTGAAACGAAAATACGAAATTTTAGGAGAAATGCAGAACGTTCTGTTTGTAAGGCGAAGATGATAATTTATTCGAAAAGGTGAAAGGCAAACTTTTGAGAGTAGTTAGCAGGAAGGAAGATGTATCTTACATCATTCGTAACGTGCACGTGGAACATGGAGCCCATCTCTGAATAAACAAAACGAGAGTATAGTGTATAACAATGTTGCGTATAGCACGGCACCACCGACAGTGTCTTTATTTTGTCAAATGAGGTGTTGATTATATTAATAAGGAATATATGAAAATTGTCGCAGACTCTCCACCAATCGGAAATTAAAAACGTTTTCTACCATGAAAAAACGTTTGGGGTACAATTTCTTCGACCATGAAAAAATGACCCGGGTGCATTTTCTACAATTAAAAAAAAAACCGGGTACGTTTTCTACCATGAAAATGTGACCCGAGTACATTTCCTACAATGAAAAAAACGACCCGGGTACATTACTTACCGTGACAAAATAACCCGGGAACATTAATTACAATTTCTTTTTTTTACTATGAAAAAATAACGCGACTACATTTTCTACCGTGAAAACATACCAGCCAACCCTCCCTTTCACATATTCGTTTTGCTGGAAAATCGTTACATTCTGATATTTACGGAAAATTTGACGAAATGAATAGATGTGAAGACAATCAAAGACAAATCAGCAGAAACAGTCCTGAAACATCTCGTGGAGTTTGGGTGCGTGCATTGTGTACCTCATGTTGTCATTACAGATCAGGGCTGCGAGTTTTGTAATATCATAAATGACACTTTTTGTAAAGTGTTTGGCATAGACCATTTAATAGCATCTGCATTTCATACACAGACTGGGGGATTAACCAAAAGACTCAACAGAACTCTGTGCGTATCACTGTTAATGATAATCAGAATCATATGAACGTTAAACTTTCGTTTGCTTTTTCGCATAAAGAACATCAGAGCACGTGTCAACGAAGATAGATCCATTATCTTTGGTGTACGGCAGAAAAGCCAGATTGCTAATATTGAACTGGATATACCAGCAGTCCAAACATAAACCTCTGACGCAGACCCTTTAAAGTCAAGAATTGATACATTTGTTGCTCTTGCCGATGGGAGAGAAGTGGCAGAATATCAAATATGCACAACGAAAACAAAAGTTGTATCATGACAAAAATAAAATAAAAAGCAGTATTCAAGGTTTGTGACAACTTACTGCTACATAGCTCAAGAAAGGCAACCAAAATCTTTTAGTCTTAAAGGACATTGTTTATCTTTTAATAGACAAGAGAAATGTGTATGATCGAATTGCCCATGTAACTTTTAAGATATTTTGAAACCTTAAATAATTTGATATGTCCCTTGCCCATAGGCAAGAGGCATACACAACCATAGAACTATTTCAATAAAAAGATGATCTAGTAATACTTTCAATGTACTACTCAATGTATCAAACGAGTTCAATACTTGCATATAACACGAGCATTTAGCCTAGTGGCATATCAAATTATTGGACGAGTTTAATAAATTTCGTATTATGTGAAGAACTTTTGATCAGAAAATCTACAAGTCACTATTCATATATGGAAATCTAGCAAAGACAGTAGTGTTAATCCACGGTTGTGTTATGATGTTTATTGCATAGTCATATTACACAAGATAATTTGATCATATCAATGCCACTTACAAACCATCATCCCTTCAACGTATTTAAAGAACTCATGTTTAATTCNACGAATATGTACAGCGCGGGCCGGCGATTGTGTAACACTTGCTATATAAATGTGCAAAAAAACATGCCAGAATGCAATAAAGCATGCGATATTTTTTTTGGCGCGCTATATCATTGTTTTAGATTTAACATAGAACAAATGGAAGTCACGACAGAGGAAATAAGAGCATATCTGAAGAGAGGAAAATATCCTAAAAAGAAGTCTGAAACGAAAATACGAAATTTTAGGAGAAATGAAGAACGTTCTGTTTGTAAGGCGAAGATGAAAATTTATTCGAAAAGGTGAAAGGCAAACTTTTGAGAGTAGTTAGCTGGAAGGAAGATGTATCTTACATCATTCGTAACGTGCACATGGAACATGGGGCCCATCTCTGAATAAACAAAACGTGAGTATAGAGTATAACAATGTTGCGTATAGCACGGCACCACCGACAGTGTCTTTATTTTGTCAAATGAGGTGTTGATTATATTAATAAGGAATATATGAAAATTGTCGCAGACTCTCCACCAATCGGAAATCGAAAACGTTTTCTACCATGAAAAAACGTTTGGGGTACAATTTCTTCGACCATGAAAAAATGACCCGGGTGCATTTTCTACAATTGAAAAACGACCCGGGTACGTTTTCTTACATGAAAATGTGACCCGAGTACATTTCCTACAATGAAAAAACGAC